TGCGGACTTCAACTCCCAGAATCCCCCAGCTGGCTAGGGAATTCTGGGAGTTGAAGTCCGCACATCTTAAAGTTGCCAAGGTTGAGAAACACTCCCTTAGAGAGTCAGAAGAGAGTCAGGAGAGATTTGTATTCAAATAATTATGAATAACTTTCACATTCAGCTATCCTTCTACTAAGGACATTGCATTAATTGAAAGTGCAGTCCCGTTCTCTTCCAGGGACTATCTTGTCATCAAGAAGTCAAGAGAACTTAACTATTTTTCTATCATGGAGTTGGAAAGATGGTTGCTGAAGATGCTCCTAGGATAGGGCTATTAAGCTTCTGTGCTACACAGGGATGAGGTTTTTTTCCTGGGGACACACAAATTCCATTTTTTCAGATTCAGTCATAAAAAACACAAAGTAACCGATCTCTGTTCTTCTGCCTAAATGTTTTGCTCTGAATACGATAACAATGGATGCATTTCCTGTACCCGGTATGTGGCAGCAAAGAGTGAATTTATATTAAATAATCATTCTTAAAATGGTTCCGGGGTCTGTTGAACTACCAGCCAATGGTAAGGGATCCCCTTCATCGTAGTTTGGGAAAATTTGGAGGGCCATCTTTTCCTTCCCAGTCCTAGATATGATACATCATGAAGAAACATCACAATTCTCACAAAATAAGAACTAGCCTGATCTTTCTTACCTTCTATAAGACCCTTAAAGCCATTTTATTTCAGTGAGACTGGCTGAAAAGGGGAAGCTGGATGGCCATGTGACGGTATTTGCACTGTTGACTATCACTGATCTTGTTGCTTACGTTACTCTGTCATATTATTGCCTGTCTTCTGTGTTGCAATCCACCCAGCATCATTTTCGACTGTGATAGTTTGCAAACGCTTTTAAAAAATAAAAGAGGAGCAGGGGACACCCCAGAGTCACGTTTCCCCGATTCAGCTCCTGTCAAGCTTCAGTCTTGACTAAGAAGGAACCTGAATTTTCTCTCAAAAGTATTGAAGTGTTATGAGTGCTTTGCTAACACCTTTTCTATGAATGCCTGGGCTGTAGCACAACCCAGCATCTTCTCTTTGCATGAAAATCAATTCTCAGGATCTCTAAGAAGAGTAGAGAAAGATGGAGGGTGTGGTGTGGAGGCAAATTTTAAAAAGAACAGCCTGAATGTGTTCATGGGGGTCAGGATGACACCTACAGTAGAAGAACGAACCAGCTGGGCAGTCAAACAGCCTGCAGAGCTGTCTTTCAGTAGAGGTGGTTGGTTATCATCTCTAGGGCCCAAAGGAGCCTGTGGCTGACATCACTGAAGGAGTTACTTAGAAATGTTTCATCTTGTTTTGTTTTGTTTTGGGATTGGGGGTCAGCTTAGACAGCCAAACACATGTATTACGCCAGGCCCCAAAAAGCCCAAGAATGCAGCCAGCCAGCTATTCAGTTGCCCTCTTTTAACTGGGCCTGGCTGGAGTTGAGCCCTTGAACCGTTTGTTGAAGGCTGGTCCTGCTCCAATACTGACATCTCTCTGTTCTGACCTTGTCTATGAGTGGAATTGTTTGAACTAACCATTGGCTTTATTATATTCTGTCTTTTTTCATCCTTGAAGCATTGCTAATGTTTCTTATAGCTTCCTACTATGGACTTTCTTGTTGTATAGTCTGCAGGGTGAACTCATAATCCCTTTGCCTTCTGCCTGTTTGCTGACCTGGGATTGGACATTCCTGCGTATCTTGTCTAGCTCTAACAATGTGCTCTTCTGAATATGAATCACTTGCTTTTTCATTGCTGATTTCTAGATCTACTTCATCGAGCGTAATGGCTCTTGGCTATTATTTGTTTTATATTTCTTTTTTTTCTTATTCTTTTTTGCCAATAACCATTATTAAAGTTGAGCGGGATCGTGACCTGCAATTTTGAGTTGTGTTAGGATACACTCAAGAATCTAGGAGAGTGCAATAAAGAAAAAAATCAAATGTTTCTCTGTGTAAACAGTTGAATATTATGTTTAAGGTTTTACTGAACAGCCAGTAACTGTTCAGATGGAACCCTGTAACTCCTTAATGGAATAGGCCATATTCCTTCAACAGAGGATTAGATTATATTCTTCTTGCTCCCATAAGAACTTGCATTAAATTGAAGGTGACATTTAGCCTAAACTAACCAGGGAATAAACTAGATGACTTCCACCCCAGTGGTAACCCAATTGTGTCTACACAGACATTTTAGCTACCCTGTCTTCATGAGAATAACATAAGCATCATGCAAAACAAGTTTGTTTGTTACATTTACATGGTGCTGAAAACCTCACACATAGAACTTCTAGATGGCTTTCTTCCATGCACGGAGCAGAATCAGATTTTGATGATACCAGAATGGCTGCTAGATCAACATGTCTTCAGCCTGTGCCATGTGGTAGGCACCCCAGCAGCTGTGTATGGATGCAGGAAGCATTAACCCATTTATCCTTCCCCTTGCTATAGTATTTGAGACCATCATGCAGTGGTCGAGTAGGCTAGTCCTCACTGAAGGACCCCAGATAGCTGGCAGTGGGAGTAATGAGGTAGGGAGACAGTTTTGCATTAGATGGACATAATCTAGGTCCATCTAATGCAAAACATAGGTAGGCATAAGGCATTTCCTATGGCCCATATCATTTAAGATCCAAAGCTGACAGATTCTTGTAGCTGTTGACTTTCAAGAATGTGTTCGCAAGGAGATTCAGATGCACTTATCCGGTCACAGCCTTCATAAATGTATGATATATGCCAGGAATATCCACAGTGTATGGTAAAAAAGTCAAGATGGCAGCCAGTATGGTGCATTGGAAGCTCCCCCACTTTTTATGTGTGTTGCATACCCTGCGGACACCTCTGATATATGCATTCTCCTCATTTGCCCATTAGCTTCTCAGGAGTGAACTGTAATATAAATTACCTGCATCAGGCCATCCTGTGAGGTTCTGAAACAATACTTGGAGTCAAGCAGATTTCTGTTAGTTGTTGCCTTTATCATTCTTTTGCTTTCTGCACATTACTGTTAGCTGGACTGCAAAAGAGGGCAGGAATTGACTGCCCTAGAGTTGGGGTTTTGTTTGCAGCTTGTCTTTTTTTGTTCTATGAATTTTGTTTCTCTTCCTTTATTTTAAATATCTATCTATCTATACTAGCAACAGAGCGCTTTCTGAAAGCTAGAAATTCCAAGTGTTTTGGTGATGGAATTGCAGTAATGTGTTGTGGCTTGGGCCCCTCGCAGGAGTGTATCTCGCAGTCAGCTGTGAAAACCAAGTTTGAGCAGCACACTATCAGAGCTAAACAGATCCTTGAGACTGTGAAAAGCATTATGGACAACATAAATGTGGCAGCAGCCCACCAAAGGTAGGTCTCTCCTGTTGTGTTTACCTTGTTGCCCAAAGCTGGACAAAGCCACCAGGTTGCACTGACCTTTCTCCCTGTTAGCAGGAGGTGAGTAGAGCCAATGAGGAAAGGAGCCTTTGAGCCTCGCCCATGACGCTGGGTTTGCCCGTTGCTGAGTTCCCAAAGTCCCAGGGAAACACGAACCGTCTCCAAGTCATCTTTATTGTTAATATTGTTTCTGTACCACCCTTTCCTCAGGGGAACTCAAGTAGTTTATTGATGAATGATCGTTTAAAAACCCTTAAAATATGTTGCCAGTTTGGTGTAGTGGTGAAGGCACAAGGTTAGAAACCAGGAGACTGTGAGTTGTAGTCCTGTTTCAGGCACAAAGCCACCGGGGTGACCTTGGGCCAGTCACTCTCTCTCAGCCCTGGGAAGGAGGCAAGGGCAAACCACTTCTGAAAAACCTTGCCAAGAAACCTGCAGGGACTAGTCCAGGCAGTTGCCAGGAGTCAAAAACTGACAGGAAG